ATTGGTTGAGCTCCACGCACCTCCGAACAGACCATTGCTTAGTTGGATGGTTTTGCCTGCGCAGACGGAGCCCGGCCCGCTGAGATTATTAAACGCAGCCGGAATGCCTACAATATTGATCTGCATTTTTGCGGACTGGAAGCATCCGTTCGCATTGGTAACCGTGTAAATGACCGTATCAATACCTGTAGAAGCAGGTGTTAGTACACCGGCAGCAGAAATAGTGCTTCTTACTCCATTGCTGGCCGTACTCCAGATGCCGCCGGGTGTTGTGCTTGTATATCGCGGAATACCGTACATGCACACCCAATAGTCGCCCGTTACAGCATTTACGGCAGGCGAAGGACTGACCACGATATTTTTAGTGGCCGTATTGGCGCAACCCGTCCCCCCTGTTCTGTAGGAAATGGTTGCCGTGCCGCTGGCAATACCGGTCACCACGCCGGTATTGCTAACTGTGACTATGGCACTATTGCTGGTGATCCAGACTCCGCCTGCAACCGTATTACTCAATTGAATACTTCTTGTTGTGCAGACGGTATCAGATCCGGTTATAGGGGCTGGCATTGACGACGTAGTAACCGTAACATTCCTGGTGGCCACGGTACCCGGGCAGTTGGTGGTGCCCGTTCTGTAAGAAATAACAGCAGTTCCGTTTGCGATCCCCGTAACTTGTCCGGTGGCAGAAACAGTTGCAACTGCCGTATTGGAAGAAGTCCAGGTACCGCCGGCGACACTATTGGATAAGGTAACGGTACTGTTGAGGCAGATAATTGAATCGCCGGTAATGGTACCGACAATGACCAGCGATGGTCCCTGATATTCATAAGCGCCAATATCATAATTACCCACACGGCCATTGCCAAGAATATCGGTTGTAATTGGCGGATTGATGGTGATCCCGTTGTTGATCAGCGGGCTGCAGGGCGAAAGCGTAAGACCATCGTCGGACGTCCGGGCAATATTATCGATACCCAGCGGTTGATTCGCATTGACGAATAAAGGATCTGTGTTAAACAGGTTGCCACCTGCACTTGCGCCCAGACTGTAGCTCGTAGCGGGCAGCTGGAATGAGTTATTGTAAAAAGTATTTGCAGACAAGCCGCCTGCAACAAAATCCACCCCTGAAGCCGTACTGCTGTTATTCTTTTTATTAAACCAGAAAACATTGTTCTTGAGGTTAACAGTTCCTCCCAGCTTTGAAATACCACCGCAATCAATACTTGCAGCATTGTTGAAAATGGTGTTGTTACTGTAGTTCCCGGTACCGTCATTATGATACACAGCCGCGCCTTTTTCAGCAGTATTGCCGAACAGGCTATTGCTCCAGGCATAAAAAACACCGAAATTCCCGCCCTCATAAAAGATACCGCCACCCCAGTAGTTATTAGCCGTATTGTTATAGATTGAGTTGTTGGTACAATAAGTT